CTCACCTTTCCGGCCGTCGATACGCTCGAATAACCCCTTCTGCATTAGAAATAACCAAAGCTAAAAACTTTAGTCGGATCTCTATGGATAAACAAACCCAGAATAATTCATTCATTTACTTGGAGGATGTTTTAAGTTAGTTTTTTTTGATAAAATATCAAATAAGTTGGCTTATAAGGGAATCTCCAACAGCTTCTCCAAAATTTTCTTCAAAATGAGGAGGCAAAAGTTATATTTTCCAAATTATTTTTACACCAACTCCAACAGCTTCCTCGTTTTGAAGAATCTCTTTTTTCCTCTGAAAATTTGGAGAATGTTGTAGATTTGGGGAAGCTTCCCTATTTTTTTCTCCTCCATCCCTATTTTGGGGAATGAGAGAAGGAATCCGTTGGACCAAAAACCTAACTAAATTATCCAAAAGTAAGAAATGGGAAAGCTGTTGGAGATGCTCTAAGTCTCATTTTAAAAAGCTTAGTGTACCCCCCACCTTTTCAGAAACTAGCTTATAAGCCCACTTAAATAAGCTGGTTTTGACCAACAAATTACTATTCTACCAAAAAAAAGTTTTTTTTTCTACTATTCTTATCGTAAAACCAGAAGCCGAGATAGCTTAAAAAACATATAAAAATAACCCCGGCCGAGGACCATCTGGAGACTTACCTCTTGATCAACGCAACAAGGCCTGCAGCGCTCAAGATTGCGCGAGCCATTTCCTTAAATGATATAATGGATCAATAATTAAGATGAGAAAAATATTGTACGTACAAAACTCGATCTTTTTCCTAGTAAATTTCTCTCTTTGAGTTGTGGTGGTATTTGTAGGGGCAGAGCGAGGGAAAGGGGTGAGAAGGGGAGCCGAGTCAATTGGTGGCACTGGGGCCTTTGAAATGTCGACACGCGTGGAGTCAAGAGGACGTGTGCGAAGAAATCTCCGCATCGGAATCTTAACGCGGTCGGCGGGTTTGGAGTTTGGGGAGGGAACAAATAATTAGGCAACCAGGTCCTTGGATTATTAGACGATTTTCAATTTGTTTTTTTAAAGATATTTTCTTCGGCCCTTTTTTTGTCTGTCGATGAGTTGTGGTAGCTCGATGATGCGTATGGAGTCTATCCGAGCAATAAGTGAAGAATCCAGACGGAAGATAGGAGATAGGGGAAATTGCTTCTAGCCCCTAAAATGACAAGAAGTATTCTTGTCCCACCCGAGAGTTTTTCAAAGTACCAAAAACCCCTAAAATCAAACCCACAATTCTTTTAGCCTCCAAAATCCCATCTTGTGTACTTTCAAACATTTGAACACCATAATACTCCCTCTCTCTCTCTCTCTCTCTCTCTCTCTCTCTCTCTCTCTCATGATGTCACTGTAGGCATGAATGATGATTAGAAATGAATTTTCGAGGGGGGAAAAAATCCTAGTTCCCTCCAAATTCTTCCAACGGTGTTGACATTGGTGACGGAACTTTCCCGGTGTTCGTTCGTGAGGCGAAAAACACTACGATCTTGAAGACGGTGGTGACGAGCAAAGGACAGAGCGTCGATTCGACAGTGCTGGCGGGTCTGAAGAAAAAGAGCAGCTTACCTTTAGAGATCGATCTTGAAACTAGGGCTGGAGTCAAGCTTGGATCGTTCAAGACGAAGAAGATTGGGATCAAAGTAAGTTGTGATGTAATTTCCCCCCTTTTTAAACTTGTATTTGAATCTGAGTGTTATATTGTTTTATTATTTTACATATTGTTGTAATTTTTTTAAAACCGATGACTTGAGATTGAAGCAGAGTCTATAAAAGTCTGAGGTTCTTTTTTGATGGTGTCATGAGGGGTCAATTTGAAAATAATAAAACGTTAGATTTGGCTTGGCTAATGGGTTAATTATGCGATTAGTTTATTTGTGGAGGGTGATCTTGGTTAAAAATATCAAGAATTTTAAACTCTTTAGTTTCCTTATGAGTTAGTCGTTAAGGTAATGAGTTAGTTATTAAGGTTATGAGTTAGTTATTAAGGTTATAAATTGGTTGTTAACCTTATGAGTTTGATGTTAACACCGGTAGAGAGTTATGAGTTGGTTGTTAATGTTATGAGTTGGTTGTTAACCTTATGAATTGGTTGTTAAAGTTATGAGTTGGTTGTTAAAGTTATGAGTTGGTTGTTAAGGTTATGAGTTGATTGTTAATGTTATCAGTTGGTTGTTAAGGTTAACCAGTTGGTTGTTAAGGTTATGAATTGGTTGTTAAGGTTATGAGTTGTTTGTTAAGATTACAAGTTGGCTGTTAACATTGGTAGAGAGTTATGAGTTGGTTGTTAACATCGGTAGAAAGTTATGTGTTGGTTGTTAACCTTTATAGATGAGTGCTAGAAGCAATTAGTTGTTAACAACCAACTCATAACTCTCTACTGAGGTTAACAACCAACTCATAACTCTCTACTAATATTAACAACCAACTTTCATTCTTAACAACCAACTCATAACCTTAACAACCAATTCATAAGGTTAACAATCAACTCATAACATTAACAACTAACTCGTAACTCTCTACCGATGTTAACAACTAACTCATAACCTTAACAACCAACTTATAACTCTCTACTGAGGTTAACAACCAACTCATAAGGTTAACAACCAACTCATAACTCTCTACTAAGGTTAACAACAAACTCATAAGGTTAACAACCAACTCATAACTCTCTACCGAGGTTAACAACCAACTCATAACCTTAACAACCAACTCGTAACATTAACAATTAACTGATAATCTTAATAACCAACTCATAACCTTAACAAACAATTTATAAGGTTAACAACCAACTCATAACCTTAAAAATTAACTCATAACTCTCTACCAATGTTAACATCAAACTCATAAGGTTAACAACTGACTTATAACCTTAACAACCAACTCGTAATCTTAACAACAAACTCATAACCTTAATAACAAACTCATTACCTTAACAACTAACTCATAAGGAAAATAAAGTATTTAAAATACTTGATATTTTTAACCAGGATCACCCTCCATAAATAAACTAATCGCATAATTAACCTATTAGCCAAGCCAAACCCAACGTTTTATAGACTCTGCTTCAATCTCAAGTCATCAATTTAAAAAAATTACAACAATATGCAAAATAATAATAAAAAATATAGCACTCTGATTCAAGTACAAGTTAAAAAAGAGAAAAACACAATAATTATTTAATTAAAAAACTAGAGCAAAAGCTAAAAAAGGGCAAAAAATATAGCACTTAGAATCGAATTGGATCGATCTAGAGTGTTCATTTCCAGATCTTGATCCTTAGCTTCACTTTGCAGCTTACATCGGGAATCGTCGGAGTTCTCGCTTTTTTCTTGGGAACGACGATGCTAAATCCATCGGAACTCACATTGATCCCAATCTTCTTCGTCACAAGGAAATAAAGTGATCTTCGCCTCATGAACGAACGCCAGGAAAGTTCCGTCGTCGATGTCAACGTCGGAGAGAGAGAGAGAGAGAGAGAGAGAGAGAGAGAGAGAGAGTGTATAATGGAGAGAGAGTGTGTGTATAATGATCTTTAAATGTTTGAAAGTACACATGAGGGGTTCAATTTCTGGTTTTGGGGGCTAAAAAATTGTGAGTTTAATTTTAGGGGTTTTGAGAACTTTGAAGAAGTCTTAGGTGGGGGGAGAGTACTTCTTGTTATTTTGAAGGCTAGAAGCATTTTTTCCTAAGAAAATATTGCGTCCAATGATAAAATATTATGTCTCTCTTTTTTTTAATGTAATGTTATTGGAGGCTTGATACTAATAGTCTTCAAGGACGTGTCTTCGACCTTAACCAGTACGAACTTCTAAGATAAGTTGATGGGATACTTAGAATTTAAACTTGTTGAGTGCATACTAACATAAGCAATGATATAAGTGGATTCCATGTGACCTCTTCCTTATTTTATGTAGATTATGCATACCTTAGTCCACATGGGAAAGCATAGCCAATCTCAAATTTTGGTAAAATATTTCAAAGTTAGATAGGGCTTGTTTCGTTGGGATTGGGATCCTCTTAAGGAATGAGATCCTTTACTAAAGCATAGTACCTCCTAATATCTCATAATACATCTCCACCTTGCATAGTATCTTCTCGTATTTTATGTTTATGCACAAAATAAAAGATAGAGATGCATTAGGAGATATTAGGAGGTATTATGTCTTAGTAGAGGATCCCAATCCGTTTCGTTGGTTACAAACTCAAGAAAAGAGTGCAGAGAAAATAGATTTTCTTTGACACCTCCTTTTATTATTATTATAATTTTCTAGACAAAAAAGGGAGGAAATTATTAGTACCTTGTAGCGATTTTCCACTTAATAAAAATTAGCTACTATGAAAATTTCATTAAAATCAGGCAAAATTGACCTTTGGGTGAGAACGGGACGACGCATGCCATTCCACCACCGAGAGTGGCCCTTTAGGGGCTGTTTGGTTCAGGTAAATTTTTGGAAATCATGTAGTTTTGGAGCAAAAAGTAGGTTTTTTGATATTTTTGGATTCCAAAACTATCATTTGGTTCAACTTTTTTTTTAAGAATGCATTTCTTAAAAGCTGACATGGCAACACACTTTATGGAAAAGCCAAATCCTCTTTTAAAGCTCTGAAATGGGCTGGAAATCTGACAACTCATTGACAACTAATCAATTACTCTCACAATTCCTTAATTTTTTTGGTAATGAAACAAACATGAGTTTTGGAAATGCTTTTTCATTCTTCACTTTATCATTCTATACCAAACACAAGTTATGAATTCCTGAATGATCCAATTTTTTTTTAAAAAAATAGTTATTTGCCTTGGATTCCATTTCCATTATTTTATGGAAACGAACCAAACAGCCCCTAAGTAGCACACGAATGAGTTGGGCTCAGATTAGACAACCCAACTACGTACCCGAATCCGGCCCAATGCGGCCTACTAAAAATTCGGTCTAACTTCCAAAAGACGGCAGCTCCTCGAAAAAAAATCCACGCGCTTTCTCTCCTCATCAATCAATCGATCAATCAAATCATCCTTAAAAAAATAAAAAATAAAAAAATAAAAAAAATAGAGGGGAAAAAAAATCTGAAACCCTAACCCTAGAGAGAAAAAGAACTCGACGGCGAAATCAAGATCAAAAGATGATGATGACGAAGAGCCCGATGGGGGCGATGGAGGCGGCGGAGGTCGACGACATAATCAGGAGGCTGCTCGATGGCGGGAAGAGGGGGGCGAAGCAGGTCCAGCTCTCGGAGGCGGAGATCCGGCGGCTCTGCGTCGATTCCAAGCGCGTGTTCTCGTCGCAGCCCAATCTTCTTCAGCTGCACGCCCCCATCAAGATCTGCGGTCAGATTCCAATTTCTCTCCTTTTTTTTAATAATTATTTTTTAAAATTTTTTGGGCAGAGGGTTTGGAAAGGTGAGATCTTTACTAGGTTTGAGGTGAAAGCGTGGATTTAATATTAGTAATTTGATCGACGAGGTGCCATAGGGATAGGTTACGCGAGCAATTTCGAATACTCTTGCCCGAATTTATATCGCGCAAATTGAAAGGAGAGGTGAACTGGTAATTGATCCAAGAACATGAACTCTCGGCGACATGTAGCTAGAGAAGAAAGGGGAGCTCTGTGGAGAGCAAGCTATGCTGCACACAATTTACCGTTTTTAGTAAAAAGATGGACTTATTTTAGGGAAGAACTGATCTTCAAAGACAATGGGAAAGACAAGAAGGGTGTTGGGGTCTGAAGATGGGATGTCAAGGTACTCGTGTTGATAGGCGAAGGCAATCAAACTTCTCGGACTCGCTTGATAAATAAATGGATACCTTTAATCTGCTTAATTTAGAATATATTATCCATTCGAAGGTCTTAGTAGCACAACATTGTCGGGAGCGTCTTTGCCCATTTAGTTCAATTCCTTTGTGATGTAATCTTTTTCTTACCTTTCAGAAAGAAATGGTGATGGAAGGTTAATGTTCTCGAGGTTGGTTTATTGTCTTCACTTTCCTTTTCGTACCGTGACGCTAACGCTAGTGTGAAGACTTGTATTTGCTTATATAAACCATGTTAAGCTGCCATGTGTATTCTGATGTCTTAAAGGCTTGAGTTGTTTTCATGAATTCAAGGGATGTACGAGTTCCTACATTGCATGTTTCTATGTTATTCTCCTTATGAAACTATTTCTTGATATGACCACTACTTCAGTCTTTTGGTGATTTAACACGTTAACAGTTTCTTTCTTGCATTGGAGAAGGAAATATTTCGAGGCATTTACACATGATACTTTTAGATTGATAAGTAATTTTCAGGATGCTCGTTGTTAAAGATTCATGTTCAATGCAGGTGACATTCATGGACAATATCAGGATCTCTTAAGAATATTTGAGATAGGTGGCTTCCCTCCATCTTCAACCTATTTATTTCTTGGGGACTATGTGGATCGTGGCAAGCAGAGCTTAGAAACAATCTGTCTGCTTCTTGCTTATAAAATCAAATACCCACACAAACTCTTTCTTCTGAGGGGAAACCATGAAGATCCAAAAATCAACAGAGTGTACGGCTTCTATGATGAATGTAAGCGGAGATTCAACGTACGTCTCTGGAAGATGTTTACTGATTGCTTCAATTGCCTGCCGGTTGCTGCACTTATAGATGATAAAATATTCTGCATGCATGGGGGCCTTTCACCTGAGTTGAGTAGTTTGGATCAAATAAGAGATATGAAAAGACCCGTTGAGATTCCAGATGATGGTCTCCTCTGTGATTTGCTTTGGTCTGATCCTGATCCATCGATTGAAGGTTGGGGGAAGAGTGACAGAGGGGTTTCATGCACTTTTGGTGCTGATAAGCTCGTTGAGTTTTTGGAGAAGAACGATCTTGATCTCATATGTCGAGCTCATCAGGTCAGTATATTATCTCCTTTTATTTTTTTCCTTTTGTACAATATAGAATATGAAAGGGTTGTTGAATTTGTTGGAAATATTTTCCTTGAAGTAAGGTAGATATTTCCAAACATCGGAATGGAAGTTTGTTAACTTTTAATGCAAATTTTGTACTGGTATATAGACCAAATGCATATTCTTGTGTTATTGGGTAAAATACGAAAAGGCTGATTATATTGAAAGTGAGACTCAAAACACACACACACACACACACACACCAAAAAACAAAAAACAACTGCACAAAAACACACACACACACACACACACACACCACCACCACAAAAAGGAAAAGGAAGAACACTATCTTATTAGCACTTCTCTTGAACTCTAGATGGTAGCATTTCTCCTGTATAGTTGAGAGGGCATGTGAGAATCTAAGATGATAGATTACTCTATTCCCGCAGTTTAATTGAAAAAGACTAATTTGCCCTCTAAATTGAGGGGACGAAAAAGCAGCACCATCTGAGGTTTGGGTATGCAAGTGCTAATAAAATAATGCAGGGAGGGGGGGTATAACCATTTAAGTGGCTACACCAACATAATATGAGGGATGTTTAATCCTATTATAAAAGAGGATCTTCGAAGCTGAAATGACCGAGTTTAGTAATAGAAAGCTAGCTCATATATTTTTCAACGTCCAGGTGGTGGAGGACGGATATGAATTCTTTGCACAACGGAGATTGGTAACCATTTTCTCAGCTCCAAACTATTGTGGGGAGTTTGACAATGCCGGTGCTTTGCTGAGCATAGATGAATCCCTGCTGTGTTCGTTTCAGATATTGAAGCCTTCAGAAAACAAAGGAACATCAGCTGGCTCTAACACATTAAGACCCATACCCAAAAAGGTACATAATTGCTTACAGTGCCACTTGATTTTTAATGTTTTCCGTTTTCGCCTCCAATATGATCTAATTGGTGCTTGTATTTATTTTTTTGTGGAATTAGCAGCTGCCGAAAGGTGGGAACTGACCGATGGTTCCTTGAATTACTCACCAAAAGTTCCTGGGGGAAATTATAGATTATATTGATAAGAAAAGTGTGGATTTATTGGCAGGTGTGTATTAATTTGTTTTAGTAACGTCTAATGTGTAGCTAGGGAAGCTTTGTGACCCAATGAATCTCGCCGGGCTTGCTCAATAATTCGATTGAAATGTAAATTTCTTTTTTGTAACGAAATTGAGAAGTGATGCAGGTTTTTTTTTTTTTTTGGGCAACTACGAGGGAGGTACGTATTAATATAGAAACACTTGCGTAATGAGTCTCTCACACTTACTATTTCCTACTCAGATGGAAAATTCATGGGTATATACGACATTCATTCGACCTTGTACTGTTTTATTATTTGTATTATACCTGCCAAATTTTCATGCCGGCCACAAGTGAACATATGCAAGCTGAATCAATGAAGTTCGAAAAGCGTACATGACCTATAAAATTAGGTCACAATCTCAATCCCAAACACGAGATAACAGAGAGAATGAGTGCGCTCAGACGAAGAGCCTGAGATGTTACCTGAGAACTTGAATTTTTCTTTTTTTGTTTAATGGGGAAAAACACGCACGCAACTAATAACCCACAAAAGAGGATCAAATACTGATTTTGACAAGCAGACTCTGGGCGTAATAAGCAAAGACGTGAATATCTATTACTCCCAAAATTCCAGCATCAGATTATTGGTAGAATACAGGTTTAATGCACATATAACATCTGTATGAATTCCCTCTATCTCCTCCCACCAGAAGACTGTCGGTTTACACTTGCCTCCAGCCTTCGAGCTGCTGCACGGTACATCAATGCCTGCTTCTGACGACGGCTGTGGCTCTTTCTTTTGCTGCGAATAAAACAAAAAGATGTAAACGATTGTTTACACCGGCCATAATAACTGATACAGCCAAAGACAAGCAAAAGGAACCTACATTACTCCTAAAGAATTCAAGTGTGCTTATATATTTCATCCACTTACGGCATTGAACACATAGTACAGTTAAAGAATGAAGGTTTGACCATTTAAGTTATTGATGCAGCAAACTGGAAGCTAACCATGAGAGTGAAAAGTCTAATGTTAAAAGAACGGCAAAAGATTTAGGGCATTGTTTGGCAACTTGGATTATGATCCACTTTTTGGGTTATAATCCATCATATTTTTCTCTTTTCCGATCAAACCACAAGTTGTCGTCTCACATAGAATATCTTATGCGTGCTCAAAGATTCCCGAATTTCTATGGACTATAGTCCTTAATTTTGGTTGCTTTCAACCAAATTACAAGTTGTCATCCTAGCCAAAGGCTTTGGTCGTTTTCGACCAAATCACAACTTATCGTCCTGCATAGAATATTTTATGTATAGTCCAAAGTTCATGAATTTCCATGGACTTATAATCCATGATTTTGGTTGATTCCAACCAAATCATAAGTGTCGTCCCATATATAAGATTTTATGCACATTCCAAGATTATTCATTCTCTTTGGACTATAACGCATGATTGGTCACTTTTGACTAAATCACAAATTGGCATCTCTCATAGAATATTTTATGCATACTAAAATATTCCTAAATTTATATGGACTATAATCTATGATTATAGCCCTTTTCAATCAAATCACAAATTGTCGTCCTCCAAAACATATATTATGTGTACCCAAAACTTCCTATTTTTTTTATGGACTACCTATCGTTTTGGTCGTTTTCACCAAACCACAATTTGGTTGCCTCATATATAATATTTTACGCATACTAAAAGCTTCTCGAAGTTCAGTCAATTATAATTTATGATTTTGACTGTATTTGACCAAATCACAAATTATCATCCCACAGAGAATATGTTTGCGTACTCATAGAATTCCTGAATTTCTGTGGAGTGTGAGACATGATTTTAGCTATTTTTGACCAAATCACAATTCGATGCCCTGAATAGAATATTTTGTGTATATTCTAAAATTTTTGAAATTATATGGACTATAACCCATGATTTTGGTCGTTTTCCTGCATAGAATATTTTATGTATGCTCCAAAATTCCCACACTTTCGTAGGCTATAACCCAAAATTTTGGCCGTTTCCAACCAATTCACAAGTTACCGTCCTGCATAAAACTGTGCCCTCTAAATTTGTGGACTATAAACCATGATTATAGTCTTTTTTTTACCAAATCACAAGTTATCATTCTGTATAAACTATTGCGTGAGTACTCCAGAACTCTCGAACCTTTGTGGATTATAATCCATAATTTGGGTCTGTTTTCGACCAAATCACTTATCATCCCATAGAAAATTTTGTGTATTTTATAGAATTCATGTGAACTATAGTCTATAATTTTGATCGTTTTTGACCAAATCATAACTTGCAACATAGAATATTTTATGTGTACTCCTAGATTCTCGATTTTCTCCGGGCTAACCAATGAATTTCGCTACTTTTGATAAAATTCACATTTGTCGTCCTGCGTAGAATATTATATGCATACTTAGAAATTCCTGAATATTTGTGGACTATAATCCATGATTTGTCATTTTTCACGAAATCATAATATTTATGTGTTCTTTGAAATTCCCGAGTCTCTATAGACAATAACCCATTATTTTGATCGTTGCAAACAAATTACAAGTTGTCTCCCATAGAATATTTTATGCAAACTCCTAAACTTCCAAATTTCTATGGACAATTAGTCCCTTTTGGCAAAATCATAAATTGTCATCCCACATAAAATATTATTTGCATATTCAACAAATCCCAAAATTTTGTACAGTATTTCATATATTGGCCATTTTTTACCACAAATTTTCGTCTCACATAGAACATTTTATGTAACCCAAATTTTTGATTTTTTTGGACTATAACTCATAATTTTGGTTGTTTTCGACCAAATTATAAGTTGTCAGCTCGCATAGAACATTTTATGTGTACTTCAAAATTTTGAATACATTGTACGCATACTCCAAAATTTCAAAATTTTTATTGACTATAATGTAGGATTTGGCTGTTTTCAAGCAATTCACAAGTTGTCGTTCTCGAATAGTTCTTATGCATACTCCGAAATTCCCCAACTTCTCTCGACTATAATCCTTAATTTTCGTCATGTTCTACCAAATCACAAGTTGTCTGACGTAGAATATTTATGCATACTCCAAAAATTCTGATGGACCTTAACCTATGATCTTAGCCTCCTTCGATCAAATTATAAATTGTCGCGCATAGAATATATTATGCATACCCTGAAACTTCTGAATATCTAAAGATTATAACACATGATTTCGGTCGTTTCTAAAAGCCACAACTTGTCATTCCGTTTTTCCTAGAAACCAACTTAGAAACAAGGTAATTATATGGAAACTACCTTCAAATATAATTTATATATAAACCACCTTTAAAATGAGTTTGTGTTGCAATCAACCACCTCCTAGTCAAATTTTCATTAAAAATAAAAAATAAGCTTAAAAAATTCACGTTCAAGGTACATGACTTGTATCTTAATAAGGCTTAAACATTAACAAAATGAGACGCATGCATTGAATGAGTTTTTTTAAGGGTATTCTTGGGTTCTTATTGAGGTGGTTGATTGCAACACACCCATTTTAAAGGTGGTTATGTATATATTGAAATTCAAAGGCGGTTTCCATGTAATTCTCCTATTTTTAAGGCAGTTTCAAGAAAAACCCTAAAATATTTTATGTGTTCTCCAAAATTTCTAAATATCTGAGGACTATATAGTCTATGATTTAGTACTCGACCAAATCATAAATTACAGTCCTAAGTAGAATATATTAGGCGTACTCCAAAATTGCCTAATTTTTGGCAACTATAACCAAATGATTTTAGCCCTTATTGAGCAAATCACAAAATGTTTTCCAACATAGAATATTTTATGCATATCTGAAGTTTTTGAATATTTGTGTACTACTATTTATGATTTTGGACCTTTTCCACCAAATCACAAGTTATCATTCTGTATAGAATATTTTATGCGTACTCTAAAAATTTCTAAATATGTGGAGACTACAACCCATTATTTTTGTAGTTCTTGACCAAATTACAAGTTATCATTCTGTATAGAATATTTTATGCGTACTCTAAAAATTTCTAAATCTGTGGAGACTACAACCCATTATTTTTGTAGTTCTTGACCAAATTACAAGTTGTTGTCTTCCATAGAATATATTATGCATATTTCAAAACTCTCAATTTTATGTGAACTTTAAGTTTCTAACCAAATCACAAGATGTCATCCTGCATAAAATATAATTTGCGTACTAAAAAATTCCCGAATTTTTGTGGACTACAACTCATGTGACTGTGTTGCAGTAAATCACAAATCACTGTATCACATAAAATGTTTCATGCAAACAAAAAAAAAAATTCTAAATTTTTGTGGAATATAACCTATAATTTTGGTCATTGTTGACCAAATCACAAGTTGTCTCGCATGGAATATTTTATATCTACTCCACTGAACTTCTGTGAATTATAACCGAGGATTATAGCCGTCGAGCAATTAACGTTGACGTCAGCATAAAATATTTATACATACTCCCAAACTCTCGAATTTATGCGGATAGAATATTCTATGTGTGTACTTAGAATATTCTGTGCATGCCATATTTGACCAATAACTTTTGTCGCTTTCGACATAATCACAAATTGCCCCGCATAAAATATTCTATGCGTGCACTTAGAAATTCTTGAATTTCTGTGGATTATAAGTCATGATTTGTTATTACTTAGAAATTCTTGAATTACTGTGGATTATAAGTCAAGATTTGTTGTTTTTTTACCGGATCACATGTTCTCGTCCCACATAGAATATTTTATGCGTATACCAAAATTCTTGAATATTTCTCGACTGTAATCCTTGATTTTGGTCATTTTGACCAAATCATAAGTTGTCATCCGACAAAGAATATTTATGCGGACTCCAAATGTCCCGAATTTTTATGGACCATAACCAATGATTTGGGCCACTTTTGACCAAATCACAAATTGATGTCCTGCAAAAAGTATATTATGTGTACTCTGAAATTCCAGAATTATGTGGACTATTACCTATGATTTTGGTTGTTTTCTCTCAAACCACAAGTTGTTGTCGGGCATAAAATATTTTATGTTTACTGGAACTTCCCAACTTTGTGGGCTATAATCTTTGATTTTGGGCATTTTCAACCAAATCGCAAATTATTCCTGCATTGAATATTTATGCATACTCCAAATTTCTCGAATTTTAGTGCAAGCAATAAAACCTCTGAATTTGACCGTTTTCAACTAAGGGCCTGTTTGGTTATTTCCTAAAAAACCAAAAAATAGAAATGAAAACCAAGAAATTTCAAAAAGTACAATTTCACACATTTTCATCCCTAAAACTCATCCACAACATCTAATAAAATATTATTTTTATCTAACAACTCATCCACCACATCTATTAAAATATTATTTTCATCCAACAACTCATCCATCACATCCACCACATCTAATAAAATATTATTTTCATCCACAACATCACTCAACTCATCTCATCTCATATTTAAAAATCACTCACATCATCCAATAAGATTGTGACAACTCATCTCATCTCATTAACATTTCATTTCTTTGTTTTCCTCCCAAAAAACTAGGAAAACAATTTCCTTAAGTGTGGGTCACATCATCCAATAATATAATGACAACTCATCTCATCTCATCTATTTTCTTATTTTTAAGAAATAACCAAACAAAAGAAAACAACATATTACAAGAAATATGTTTCTTATAATTCATTTCCTTATTTTTTCCGCCAACCAAACAACATCAAAATAAGTTTTCTTAAAAAATCACTCACATCATCCTATAATAAGGTGACAACTCAT